AAAAGATTTTGTTTCTCAGATGACACTGCCATTTTATACCAAAGTAGCATTTTTGCGACGATAAATACATAATACACCAACATTAACGTTATACTTGGTGTAGAAATTTGTCATGTATGAAACAACGCTGAAACAAAATTTATGAAACAATTATGAACACTTTAGTTTTGACTTTTTCGCAAATTTCATTTTTAATATAAACATTATCACACCCTATAGAAAATAAACAAATTTAAAGCTTGCAAGTAAGACAAAATTCGAATTATAATTGATACAAATTAAAATATAAACAGTGAACCCGAACTTCAATAAATGAACTAAAATTAAAAAAAAATCAATATAATAAATCGGTTTTATAAAAAATCCTTAAATAAATGTAGAGTATGATTACAGATTACTAGACAAAAATTGTGCTACTTAAAAAAAGGTCTTCAAGGGCTTAAAATCCGACGACGTAGCGAAATTTCACTACTCCTGGCAACAAAGAACAATAGCCTACTTAGGGTGGGTTGTATCAACATAGTTTAAATCTGGTTCAGACTTGATTCTGGTTCAAGCTCGGTCACTATCGATAGTCGGCCCTATCGATAGTCTTAAGAGTTACTATCGATAGTACTATCGAAACTATACCAATGTTGCACGTAGTACTGAATTAATGAATCCGGAAATCCCCACTGATTGCATTCGGTCATCATATGTCGATGTTTCTTTAATTAATTCATAAAGCATTCGATGGAAGCACAAATAGGAAGCAGAGACACACACAAAACGAGGAGGTACACTTGCGATTGCGTGCGTATATGATAGTTAGGCCAGTGGCGGCTCGTTAGTTGTGTAATAGGGCACTAAAAAAATTAATACCAATACTCATTTAAACTTAAGCTGCTGAATACGACGCTTTTTAATTGCGTTACTTTCATGATAAATAATTATTACGAAGTTAATTAAATAAACAACACCACACTAGATCAACATAGCAAGACAAACCACAAAGCGATAGCGAGATGGGCTGACTGAGCTGCGCCTGCCAACGGCGCCAACGCAGCCAACTCATGCATCTTAAAAGCATACTTTCTTCCCATTACTCCGCAATCTACACGTTGACATCGGTAACCATGGCAACCGTCCAGCGATTCACTATGGGCTGCTGATACTACGCTTGATACAAAATTACAGCACGCATTTATTATATGATAGAGAAAAACCGTATTATTCGTATTATACAGGTCCGGCTCGTCCGTAGCTAATTAGCTCACAAACTTTATTATTGCATTTATTTGTGTGAATTGTAAATAAGTTGTTAATAAATTTCGGAAGAGTTAAATAAAATTACTGATTATGGAAATACTATCATGCAGATGACTCCTGCTATTTCGCAGGGACGTCGGCGCCCCAGCGCCCTTCCTCACCAGCCGTTACTAAGTTAGACAACCTTTAAAACAGATTATGATTTAGTGCTGAATTGCAGATTGCGTGAAACATCACAAAAACATTCGTGTTTAAACTATCGATGATTACTTAAATCGATAGTTTTCGATAGTAATAAACTATCGATAATATCGATAATATCGATAGTGGTATCGATAGTATCCGACCACTAGTTCAAGCTACAAAAACGTGTTGTATGAACTAAGATCACATGATATAACCTAGTGATCAACTTATCCACTAACATTGACGATTTAAAATACTGATCTGTAAACAACTGTCAAATTTTTAGCTATTTTGCAAGTTAAAACTTATTTTCCTGTTAATTTATTTATTGATATTTCTCAATGGAAAATTTGCAAGAGTTGACAGATGATGAAGATTTCTTAGAATTAGTCAATCTTATGGTATTTCCAAGGCAACCAAGAAATTTTCGTCTTAGGGAAAATCATTTGGAATAATGAGGAATTTAGGGGAAGATTTCGATTGTCTAAAGAAACTGTTCGAATGGTCATAGATTCAGACAGAAAAGATCTTTCTTTCTAATATAATATTAACATTTTACCAGATTTTGACAGTTAAACCCGATTGTGACATTACGCAAAATTATGACATTTTACCCAATTTGAGATTTTGAGACTGCACTTTCACATATTGCATTATAAAAAAATATATTATTATTGATGTTTTAATAACTTTTAAATAAAACACGTCAAGTTTAAAATGGATATAAACCTTTATTATTCAAGTGTATAAAGTCACTTTTACGAAGAATGAATTAGCGACAGTGTCAACTGTCAAGTGTCACACTTCAAATGAGTACGTTCCTTTGAGTTCACTAAAGGTCAGTTCACATTAGAGATTAACTCCACTCAAACAATTGATAGAAATTATTATTAGTAATTAAGATATTATTATATCACAATACAACATAAACCTCTTCTGGAGTGACGCTTCTAGGATCAGTTCGTAGGTTATTAAAATCATGATTATACGAGTACATACAAACTCGTATATTATTACTATTATTAGGTATACAGCCAAAAATTTTGGATAAAAAACGTGGTTAATTTATCCGTCATTAGATGTTTTTGACATTTTGACATTTATGACATTTTCCATTGGCACTGGCAGTACGCACTGAGTATATTTGTGTCTTTATTTATCGATATGGAAAAGAAGATCGTGAGAATACTCTCAGAACGCCCTGAACATTCCAATGGAAAACGCCATTAGTTCCTCTACAAGTAAACATTTTTGTTATAAATTTATAACCATATAAAATATTTTATTAGTTCTATCGTAAAAAATAAAAACTCATTCTTATTAGTTTACAGCTTCTGGAAAAATATATTAACGATAATATTTTCATAGACTGTACATAAAATCCATTAAAGTTAAAGGCTAAACTAACTATGAATTAAACAACTAAAAACATGAAATCGATAAAATATGGCGGAAATTACCTGCAGTGCACTTGAACTCTCAATTAAATTTGAAATTGAAAACAGGATGTATACACTTTAAACTGAATAATTTATTGAAATTATGCTTTTTTGAAATGTTAAAAGTAACAAAGTAGGCGTAGAAGTGTTATGATTTTTTAAATATCAAAAGTCGCAATATTTAAAAAAATTAGACGTAGAAACGCAATGCGTTATTTTCATCCATCTGGAAATTTGCTGCTTGCTGCCAGTGGTCTATTTATAAATTTATTACTTTCAATTTCTTTCCGATAATTATTATTATATATAATAGGTATCATTTTAACATAGACAACAGAAGAGACAGAACGGTAAATGTCTCGTTATAAAATTGACAATTGACAGTTTGTTAAACGAGTGACGGTGTTGCCACAGCTAAAAGAGTAATTCTTATTGTTAGGTTATATTGAAATCATCCTGTTTTCGCATGTTACAAAGGTAATTTGTTTTGAAATTGTAGTATTTTGATTAAATTCGTTTGCTTTAGATTTACGAAAAAACATAAACCGATTTCATAGAGAATTGTTTATCACAAGCTTGTTTTATGTTCATTTTAACTTTATTTTACGAATTAACCTACTTTAATTCATTATTTATCAATAAATGTCGACACTAATAATGACAGTAGATTCTTTCAAGTGTACCGTAATAGAAATATCAGTTTTATACCCTACATTACTTAAGCAACTTCATACTAATAGAAAAAGACACTGACCAAAATTACCTGCTTCATGGAAACCGTTGTCGTTGATCATATAAAATTTTATTGGCATTAAAATAAAGCCATTAGACGAAGAGACATTAAAATTGTAGTTTACCTATAAAAGTCTAAAAGTTAAAATATCAGCAACATTTTTAATGCAACTTTAACTACCCTAGATCCTGACTACTAAAAGCTCTAAATGTTCTAATTAAAATACTAATTGTTGTTATTTTTCACTGTATTTAATTAAAGCTCAATTTATTCTACTTTTAGTATATGTTTACATAACATCTGGTATTCCCCAAGGTTCTACTCTAAAACTACTTTTATTATAGTTCATAAATCACATTATTAATTATGTTAATACGAAGTTTATATGCAGATATTGTAAGTTTGTTACTTATGATTACATTAAAATACAATATTAATGATATGAATAATGCTTAAAAAATAACAATAACTTGTCAGTACATTCAAGGTAATGCAATAAAAATACTGTATTAAGGTTAGAAATTTTGTCAATCTTTGATAATCATCACAGAACTGAAATTAGGAGAATGGATTTGACAGTTTACAAAAACGTTTCTACAAGGGTAATAAAATTGAGGTTTTTTGAGTTTGCGCAGTAGGTGCCAAACAATGTTTTCAGAAAAATATTTACGGCGGGTTGTACAATACGCGGTTAGTCGTGCCAAAAATTGTTTTTAAATGAATAAAATTAACATTTACTTTCAAATCACTTTTACGAATGACAATTGACATGTCTGACAGATACTCACTGCGCAAACTCAAACCTCAATTTTGAATCTCCTTAACGGAATGTAAATTTTGAGCAAGAAATGACATCAAATCCAATCTCCTAATTTCAGTTCTGTGATAATCATGTGGAATAAAAAGCGTTGCCATTTATACTTGTTTTAAATCCTGTGCTTTAAAGTAAATTCTCAATGAAGCTCTATGTGTTTACAAAACAAGCAAATATTGAAGGGTAGGTTTTTCTATGTAGTATCAAAAGATATACTTTGCTTTCCAACGTCAAAACAACTTTTTACGTGTTGATTCAGTCTTTCGTAAAATATTTACATTAAAATGTTTTGTTTCTTGTTTCATGTTTCATATCCAACATTACCATATTGTCAATGAATATTTTAAAGCAGAAGCTTTGCGTAATTTTTATTAGAGATCCCAATGCGCAAATAAAGAGTAACTTTATAACGGCACAAAGGCATACATACTCTTTATATCTTTCCCCTTTTTGTTGTTTGTTCTCCCGTTTCTAACTATACATATTTATATAGTAAACTTTATAACATGAAACGATTCTTTTTTATTTTTTATTAATACCGAAAAGGAAATATACTGAGTGGATTTCTGTTTTGTTTCAGTTCAAGCGCATGTTGAACAAAGAGCTGTCTCATTTCTCAGAATCGAGCAAGTCTGGTAACCAAATATCCGAATACATCTGTTCTACTTTTCTTGGTAAGTACATAAGTCTTAAATAGTATAAATTTTTACCTAGAAGTACCAATTTTTTAATTATAATCCACACATACCTATGACTCATTTCCCAAGTAGCATATTGTTCTGCGACAATGGGCTAACCCATGTAAAAGCAACTCTGATAGCTGCAAAAAGGTGTTATATCTAAAACAAGCGAAGTAATTTAACTTACTTGTTGATGTTGGTCGCCGTGTGCCTACTTTTTGCTTTGTAACCACAACGTGACTGATACGTAACTATCTAAGATCCATTCAACGTTTACGAAGTAATCTCTTTAATAAGAGATGCCCTCATGTGGACGTTAGTAGCTGATGATACATATCTAGATCTAGAAAAGTTGAAACTAGGCACTAAATATCGTCAAAAGAGGGATTGTTGACATTCCCGGCGAAAACCTCTGTTATAACTTCTTGTTTATAAGAACAAGAAACCTAGAGGGAATGAAGGGAACAACATTTATAGTAATATCAAGGGAAGTTAAATATCTTTGAATCGCCCTTAGCTTCTGCAGCCATATGGTAAAAGAGCGCTAACCAAGTATGATGCACTAGTAACAAAGGTTGTAGTATCCGTTATTTTAACCTACTCATCAGTCATATTATGCTACAATGTTGAATGCATAACCGCTAGCAGAATGTTGGATGAGGTACGTAATAAATGAGAGGGGAACAATTAACCTAGAGCTTCCGACAGGGGATGGATTTCCAATGTTATGCGGACGATCTGGTTATCATAATTAGGGGAAAGTTTGAGAGGTGATCTCCAACATCCTTCAACAAGCCCCTAATACGATCAACAGAAGGTGCGAGAGGGAGCAGATGTCTGTTAACCCCCGCAAAACTGTTATTGTCCCATTCACTAAGAGAAGAAAGCTCGACAAGCTTCGACAACCTACCATGGCTGGGGAAATCATTCCTTTTGGGTGAAATGTCTGGGAATAACCCTAGATAAGAAACTCATCTGAAACCCCCAATTGGACAAAACCATCAACAAAGCCAGATTATCCCTCTGGACCCTTAGAAGGATATGCGGCAAAGCATGGGGGATCAGTCATCGAGCTCAACTAATCTACTGGATTTACCAAACAGTGGTAAAACCCATGGTTACGTACTCATTCCAGAGGGAAAAACCTTCTCCTAGGCAGACTATGCGTTGTACACAGACTACTCCAAAACTAAAGAATGAGTAGGAGCGGGAGTTTTCGACCAGAGGCCTAGAGTTGACATACCAATAAACTTAGGCTCTCTGGCCACGATCTTCCAAGCAGAAATGATTGCTATTGAATTGGGAGCGAGAGAGTTGATTAATTTTCTCCCCGAAAACAAGACTATAAAGATCTTTTCAGATAGCCAGGCAGCCCTTAAGGCCCCGAGCTCCAATCGAGTTGACTCAAAGCTTGTTTCGAACTGTATAAATACCCTAGAATGCCTCGGTGCCCGGAACAAAGTTACTTTGATCTGAGTTCCGTGACACAGTGGTGTGGAGGGCAACGAAAAAGCCGACGCACTTGCTAAAAGAGGAACCGAATCTGTGTTCATAGGACCAGAACCATTCCTGGGCATTGAAAAAAGCACTGCCAAAGGAAATATCTCAAAATGGACGGAGGGTACAACACTCACGAACTGGAGAGATACCCCAGGGGTAACCCATTCGAAGGCGTTTATAACCAACCCTTCTATGAACGCCTCTGCTCAGATCCGAGAATGGAGTAGGAAAGATCTACCCATTTTCACTGGACTGATGACAGGACGCTGCCGTCTGGACAACCACATGAGAAGGATAGGTCTGCAACAAACATCGAACTGTCGATTCTGCAACGTGAAACACGAGTTTGCAGAGCACATTTTATGTACCTGCTCCGCTCTGGAAAGAACCAGGTTCCAGATCTTCGGATTTATCCGACTGGAGCCTACCGACTTTAAACAGGTCTCCCCCAATTCAACCATGGCCTTTATCAAAAGGTGTGGCTTGTACAGTGAACTATAAGTTCACAATGAGCCACAATAGACCCATCTGGGTCGTAGTGGAAGGCGATAAGATCATCCCACTCATTTTAAACCTAACCTAACCTAACATAGCCTAACATAACCTAACCTAACCTAACCTAACCTAACCTAACCTAACCTAACCTAACCTAACCTAACCTAACCTAACCTAACCTAACCTAACCTAACCTAACCTAACCTAACCTAACCTAACCTAACCTAACCTAACCTAACCTAACCTAACCTAACCTAACCTAACCTAACCTAACCTAACCTAACCTAACCTAACCTAACCTAACCTAACCTAACCTAACCTAACCTAACCTAACCTAACCTAACCTAACCTAACCTAACCTAACCTAACCTAACCTAACCTAACCTAACCTAACCTAACCTAACCTAACCTAACCTAACCTAACCTAACCTAACCTAACCTAACCTAACCTAACCTAACCTAACCTAACCTAACCTAACCTAACCTAACCTAACCTAACCTAACCTAACCTAACCTAACCTAACCTAACCTAACCTAACCTAACCTAACCTAACCTAACCTAACCTAACCTAACCTAACCTAACCTAACCTAACCTAACCTAACCTAACCTAACCTAACCTAACCTAACCTAACCTAACCTAACCTAACCTAACCTAACCTAACCTAACCTAACCTAACCTAACCTAACCTAACCTAACCTAGAGCTTCAGTATAAGTGGGCTTTGAACTACATTCTAATTAAGATATGTAGAACGTTTATGAAACGTAGCAGCGATTTTAGCATGGCAACGATTTTAGCGCAATATTTTAAAGTCGCCCATCTACTAAAATGCTACTTGGGATGTTGTTTTCTTTACACCATAAATAGGACTTATTACCATTGCAAGCAACTGATGTGTTGATTTTATTTTCAGACAAACAGCAAGAACTCGACCTTCCCCCTTTACACGATGAAGGTCCAGAAGCGCCCAAACCGACTCAGCGCAAAGACCGCAACAGAGGCGTCCAGTCGACTATGTCGCAAATATCCGGTATCAATCGCAAACCCTTGTGCCACACCAACTCCTTCACCGGCGAAAAGTTACCCTTGCACGGCATCGAAACTCCTTTCGAAGAAGAACTGGGCAAAAGTCTGATAATGATCGACCAATGGGGCATCGATATATTCCGTATTGGAGAGTTGAGTAACGGGAAACCGTTGACATGCGTTGCGTACACGACGTTTAGCAGTAGAGATTTATTAAAGACCTTAAATATCCCTCCGAAAACGTTCATTACGTTCATGATGACTTTAGAAGACCATTACGTCAAAGAGAATCCCTTCCACAACTCTTTGCACGCCGCCGATGTCACGCAAAGCACGCACGTGTTACTGAACACTCCAGCCTTAGAATCCGTTTTCACACCTCTCGAAGTGACAGCTGCGCTGTTTGCGGCTTGCATACACGACGTTGATCATCCCGGTTTGACGAATCAATTTCTCATAAATTCTAGTTCTGAATTAGCTCTAATGTATAACGACGAAAGCGTACTGGAGAACCATCATTTAGCCGTAGCGTTTAAGCTGTTGTCGAACGAAGGTTGCGACATCTTCTGCAACATGACCAAGAAACAAAGACAGACGTTAAGAAAGATGGTCATCGATATGGTGTTGAGCACCGACATGTCCAAACACATGACTCTGTTGGCGGATCTTAAAACCATGGTAGAAACTAAAAAAGTAGCCGGTTCCGGAGTTCTTCTTTTAGATAATTACACAGACAGGATTCAAGTGTTGGAGAATTTAGTGCACTGCGCGGATTTGAGCAATCCCACCAAACCGTTATCGCTTTATAAGCGATGGGTGGATCTTCTGATGGAGGAGTTCTTCCAGCAGGGTGATAAGGAAAGGGAGGCCAAGATGGACATCAGTCCGATGTGCGACAGGCATTCGGCGACCATTGAAAAGACACAAGTCGGTTTTATCGACTACATCGTCCATCCGTTGTGGGAAACCTGGGCGGATTTGGTGCATCCCGATGCCCAAGACATTTTGGACACATTGGAGGAGAATCGCGATTGGTTAGTATCTATTTAAATATATTATTACTTAAAAAATAACATAAATACACTCAACTTAACAGTGCGATCGTTTATGGTATTTTTGTTGGCCGAATGGAAGTTTAAATTGTTCCTTATACAAGTTGTTTTAAAATAGTTTGTTCTATAGGTTCTTGAATCAACCTTTTGTTGTCTAAAAAGTGCATGTGGTTTGCAATCCAATTAGTCCACTCACTAGAGGAAGTGTTAGAGTACGTGAGCCGGTACCTAAGCGATTTCTTCAGAAACTTATTCAGGGTGCTCAGGGAGTGAACATACTAAAAGTCCTGACGTTTAAGAGGTGAGGGGACACAGAAGGTTCCACTGTTGGGTTTTTCGTTTACATCTCGGAAACAGTACGTGGTAGGGAAACATTTTCTTATACTGAGTGAAAGTTGATTGAATTATCTACAACTTTCAATATATTCCAGAAATTCAAATATTTTCACATTCATATCGTCTAAACTATAGAACTATTGAATTAAAAAAGGCACATATAAGATCATTAATTTTGTTTTATTTCAATAATTTCTTAATTTTAAACTCTCTGGGTTCCCGTTTTCATCTTCTTTGGCAGTGATGGTCCTGGCAAGGGTTCTTTGTCCATATCATCTTCATCTTCAGTAGTGGGTAATTCTTGCTAGTCTTCATCGTCGTCCTCGTCAACAGGAACGCCATTGAGGCATTTCCCCTGCCAGTGGAGGCACGCTGCAGACCAGTTCAACGTTTCTTTCCGGCATCCATATTTGTCACTACAACAACCCTACAATAACACTGTGTTTTACCCCATAGCACCCACTCTGTCACCTTTGTACCTTGTACAAGTTTGTACAGATCCTTGGGTGAGTGGGTTCTATACGTTGTTGGATTAACCTGGGGTTGTCCAAAAAGAGCCTGTCTCTTGCGATCTAGAGCTTCGCATTCGCACAGTATGTGTTTGGCCGTTTCTGGTTTCATGTGACATAGTCGGCACATGAGTTCCCCATTGTACATGCCAATTTTGTTCAAGTGTCCCTTTACTGGGGCTTGCCCAGTCATGAACCCTGTTATCACTTTCAACTGGTTCCTATTCATACAGAGTAGTTCTCCAGTTCTTTTGGGACATGGTCTGCCTATGAAGGCTTTTCCATGTGCCTGTTTTGGGGTGCTTTCCTAATAGTTGATATGTTGTTCCCGAATCCAGTCGTTTATGAAACCCCGGATTATACTTTTTGGTACTCCTGGGTTTGTGTCTGGTTACGGTGTTTGTTCTGACCCTCTTTTTGTAAGTTTGTCAGCCTTTTCGTTGCCTTTGATCCCTTGGTGACCTGGCACCCAAAATAGTTTTACTCTATTTCGGTCTGCCAGTGTTCTTAGTTCTTCGATGCATTCCCTTACCAGCCTCGACGTAACTTTCTGACTCGATATGGCCTTAAGTACCGCTTGGCTGTCTGACATTATTTGAATATGCTGATTGTCGACAGCTCTTTCATTGTTCGTTTTTGAACATTGCAAAATTGCGTATACTCGGCCTGAAATACCGAGGAATGTATTCCTATAGCATAGCTATGGTTAGTATCAGGGTTTTTGGAGAATACTCCCGTCCCAGTGCCTTCTGCAGTCTTAGACTCGTCTCTAGACCAGGTTTGTTCCTGTCGTTGGGCATTGGGCTCCTTTATGGTGATTTCCGATCTTTCCTGTATTAGAACCTCAAATGGAGTATTAAAAGAGTACCTCTTGGTTATATGGTCTGATCTCATGTCTAGCACGTCTGCTGTCACTAACCTTGAGATACTCATGTGACCTGGCCTAATGTCAAGATTTCCCGGTGTATTCCGTAATCTGTAAGCAGCTAATCTTGCCTCCCCTTGTATCACATAGTGAAGAGGTGGGAGTCCTATTAGTGCTTCCATTGCAGCAGTGTGGGTTGTTTTCATTGCCCCCGTTATTCCGAGGCAGGCAAGTCTTTGTACCTTGCTTAGCCTCGTTATTGCTTTCCTCTGCTGTGTCTTTGGCGACCACACCAAAGCTGCGTATGTTATTATCGGTCTCACCACCATGTTATAAAGCCAATATACCATGTCTGGTTTTAATTCCCATTTTTTCCAAAGGATCGCCTTGCTATCATTAACGAGGTTTCCGCTCTCCTTGTGGTTTTTTATAGATGCTGGTTCCAGGTAAGTCTGGAGTCAATCGTAACCCCGAGATATTTTACCTCCCCCTTAAGCTGGATGCTTGCACCTCTTAGGTTCAGATGCCCTAGTCCCTCCAATTTTGAGGAAGCGCATCTTCCCAGCCTTTTTAACCTCGTCTACTCTTACTGTCCACAACTTGTTTTCAATGTTGCATTTTTGTTTGTTACAGGTACCAGAGCGCGATACCTCCCAGCCCCCCTCCAGAAGATGAGCCCGATTCTCACCGGCCCGGCATCCGTTTCCAAGTGACGTTAGAAGAAGGAGAAGGTGAATCCGAGGAGGGTCCGATGTGACGGAAGTTAGGGGGTCTCTGTAGGAAGCTGACCGAAAAGGTGCAGCATTGGTGGCGCGTCAGGCAGTAAAAAGGGCGCTGGCGCCCTAAACTGACGCACGCCGCACCGCGCAGGCGCGGAGTTTGTTGTGTTTTGCAATATAAGCTTGACTGAATTTTGAATTTAAAAAATTTCCGGGCTGAGATGCCAGCCTGTTCTTATACGCAGTTCCTGGGAGTGTAGTCTTTTTCGTTTCGATTTTTTTTTTTTATTTTGATTTTATTTAATTGACGAAAATGTGGATTTCGACGCTTTAGGGCTCAAACGAAATTTGTAATGTTTTTCAACGGAATTAGTTTCGAACGTTCTAATTTATTTTTGTAATTTCTAGAAATATAAGTAATTTTTTTGTTTGTTATTTAGCGTAGTTTATTTTCAACCTTTACCTTTCACCCTAAAAAAATTAAAATAAGAATTTTCTATCTAGTACTAGAAAAATACATATCCTAAACGTAGCCCCCCTCATATTTTCCGTTTATTACTCATCTTTCCCAAATTTGATAATTGTATCAAATAAAATCGTTCTGACAGCTCCAATGTCAATCAGAACTAGTTGTAACCAAGTTGTAACTTAAGTTTCTTTAAGTTGTCAATAAACATTTGCGACGTTGGATAAGTCTAATTCCGTTGAAAACTATTTTGAATAGCAGCATACTTAATCAGTGCTGTCAAAAAATATATATTAGAAAGACTATTACTGAACTGATCTAAGCAATAATGTGAATAAAAGTCTATGCTGAGTAGTTTTCTCTTTCTATTTTCTTGTGTATATGTTAGATGCTTAAAAAAATTACACCGTACACTTTTTAGTTGTTTTGCAATAGTCCCTGCATACATTTTTAAAATCATGCCAAAAAAATGGTTGTTAAATATATTATCAAGTGTAGGAGGAAAGTTAATGTGATTATTAAATAAAAGGTCGCTGAAAATTCATAAAAAAAATTCATAAAATCTGGCAACGTTGCAGAAATTATGACAACTTTGACGTAATATGTCAAATGTCATATTGAAGATAGCGAATTATTTTTATGAAAGTTCAGTGACTGTTATAACAATGTAAATATCACCGTTTTTTTCGTCTTTTGTGTAGAATTTAAACGAGAACGCGTTATAAATCTGAAACGATTTTCAGTTTAAGTCCTAAAGTAAAGGTCCACTCGAATTTTTTGGCCTTCTAAAAACCCTTATTGTGACACGCCTTATACTTAGGAAGATACTCTCCCTATTAACAGAACATCTTTGTATATATAGTTCATATCTTGTATGTGTAATACTCAGCCCTATGTATAGGTAATATATGTCATGTCAGCTATGTTACATAAAGTAAAAGCTCTCTCATTACAAATGAATTTGTGTTTTATTTTATTCCTCTAACAATTTTGATACCAATATCCTAAAGAAATGTTATTGCTGGATGCTGAAAAGAAACAATTTTAAAACACTAAATTTCTATTCTGCAATATTAATTTTTGAAATGTTAAAACGCTCAGGTGCGTTTTCATCACTGACAAAAGAATGTTGCCTTTATATGCTGATAAACGCACATGTACGTCATCAGCACTGATAAACGAATTTTGCCTTTATATGCTGAATACCGCATATGTGCGTTATCAGTACTGACAAAAGAAATTTGTCTTTATTTGCTGATTAACGCACATGTGCGTTATCAGCTCTAAAAAACGAATTTTGTCTATATGCTGATGAACGCACATATGTGTCGTCAACACTAAGGAACGAATGTTAGGTTAGGTTGAAAATGAGTGGAATGATCTCATCGCCTTCCACTGCGACCCAGATGGTGGATCTATTGTGGCTCATGACTAACTTATAGTTCACCGTACAAGCCACACTTTTTGATAAAGCTCATGGTTGAATTGAAAATGTGCTCTGCAGACTCGTCTTCCACGCTGCAGAGTCGACAGTCCGATGTTTATTACAGACCTATCCTCATGTGGTTGCCCAGACGGCAGTGTTCTGTCATCAGTCCAGTGAAAATGCGTAGATCTTTCTTACTCCTTTCTCGGATCTGAGCAGAGGCGCTCATAGAAGGGTTGGTTATAAACGCCTTCGAATGGGTTAGCCATGGGGTATCTCTCCAGTTCGTGAGTGATGCACCCTCCGTCCATTTTGAGATAATTCCTTTGGCAGTGCTTTTTGCAATGCCCAGAAATGGTTCTGGTCCTATGAACACAGATTCGGTTCCTCTTTTAGCAAGTGCGTCGGCTTTTTCGTTGCCCTCCACACCACTGTGTCCCGGAACCCAGATCAAAGTAACTTTGTTCCGGGCAAGTATTGTCTTCAACAATACCAGTATCCCACATAACCAAATTAATGTCGTCAGTTGATTAAAGGTAACTAACTGCAGTAGTAACCCTAAAACAATGTATCTGACTTTTTTGCTAGAACTGACACTTAAGTTGCTAAGAACGGTTATTTTTATAAAATTTCTTGTACCAGATCACAAAGGATACGGGTATGCTTGAAGAATAGTTTCATGCAATCATCACAGTCGCAACGTTTCTTTTTGATCATCCTAAGTAAAAATCTATCCTTCGTGAACTTAGATGAACCACTACGAATATTGAGGAGCTTCCACGAATTAACAATAAAGGAGCGTTTTCAGAATCACGGTTAGAAAGCAATGAGATGACCGACGCCCATAGAAGGCGTTATCAGCATTCTACAAAAATGTTTGAATAATATAACAGACACGCTTCGGAGGATTGCTTTAGATAAAAGATAGCAGATAGTAAGAGTTACTCTCACTTGGGTTCCGGGTGATAACGGGGTACAGGGTAACGTGATTGTAGATAGTCTTGCAAGGAAAGGGGCTCAAACACCCTTTGTAGGACCTAAGACGTTGTGTGGTATCAGTAGTAACATAATTAGGAGAGATTAAAAAAAGAATTGGGCAGTAGAAGAACCGATAATTGGAACAATCTCTTGGGGCTGAGACAGGCTAAGATACTTCTGGGTGAATATAACCAGAAAAGATCGGAAGCCTGCATCTGCCTGAGCAAGAACAGGCTACGTATTGTAAGAGGGATCCTTACCGGGCATTGCCGACTAAAAGGACACCATAGTAAACTGAGAGTAGTAGAGGATAATGAGTGCAGATTTTGTGAGGAGGAGGAAACCTCCATTCACATTCTAACTGAATGTGTAGCACTTCAGAATACATGGCCACTATATCTAGGAGGATATCAAATAGAAAAGGGAGATTTACCTAACTTGAAGCTACTCCAAATCCTACACTTCCTTGAGAAAATAGGATTTAAAGGATCGTTATAGGCATTGAGACATTTCCTTGGTATATTAGCGACAGAAGGGGACACAATAGATCTTTTGGGTCGCAGTGTATTAACACCCCATTCCCAACATAACATTAAGACAGACGGCTAGCAATGTTTCTTTTTGCTTCCTAAATTAGAAATTATATTTAATTTCAAAGCATGTGGGTTTCAAATAATAGGCAATCATCATTACATACTGGTGTATGTTGTGTTGCCTGTCAACTACAAATGGTTTGATGTTGATACATCACATGCTTTGATTTTCTCGGAGAAAGGTCGCACTGCGCAGCTTTCTGAGTGCCTTTTAAAAGGAGATAGAAAACTCCGCCATTTTTAACCCTTATTACGTGTTGCCTACATCTTGGCGCAATAGTTTTAGTCATGTTTTAGTGGTTATGTTATGTTATAATAGGTCTTTTCCTTTGCATCGAAAGTGTAGCACTGAGCTACACCACTTCTGAAAATATCGTTCCATTTATACAAATTGTATGGATGGAACGATATTTTCAGAAGTAACGTAGCTCAGTGCTACATATATACTGGGGTGCTACACTGTCGATGCAAAGGAAAAGACCTAATATTTACCCAAAGTCAGTCCCCAAAGATATTATTTACGAACCTATACTTTACAAAACCATTAACAAATAATAAATATCTTGAAAACCTTGCTTTACTTGGTGATTTTATGTTAAATCTTTCCATTTGTAAGTAGTAACTACTTTATTTATGTTCCTTCTAAAGCTTTTTATTTTTTAGGTCTACGAATCTCAAGCACTTAACATGAACAGTGGTTACAAACCATTAATCAAATTGTTTAGAAATTATTTTTAGCTAAACTTCGTTACTTATCTTCTCAGCATGCTCTTATGTAATAAGGTATGAACCAATTCTTTGTAGGAGACAAATACCTAGAAAATTGAAGCAATTACTTCAATAGATGGGAGCAGTATTAAAATCAAACGAAATAATATAAATAAACATGTAATATTATTTACTTTTCGGAACATTTATATTACAATAATTGTTTTTATTTATTTCAGGTTTACTACCTGTGGCTCATCTACACACCTGAAAGTAGAGGTAGTCCTCAGCTGAGAAAATAGCTCCCTCTGCTAAATAGTATATAAGGAAGGGTTAGAAAATGACCTGTAATATTTAATTTTTTTTATTTGGTACAGTAAACCAGAAAATATTAAAAAAACACCCTTTATAAAATTTTTTAATTTGTTCTTCAGTCTATATGTATTGTAGTCTTCAATTTATTGTAAATGTTTTTATACTATTAGTGACATAAGTATTAATTGTAATTGAAATTGACGAATGTATACAAAAAATCTTTTGTCTTAACATAATAAAAAGTAATAATAATAATAACTGAGTCCCCGTAATTTACCTTGCGGTCTCTTGTATGTGCCCAAATTTTTATTGAATTTGGTGACAAAAAATATTTTGTCAACATTTTTTGCTCATTTTAGGAAAAATAAAAATTGGCTAAATAATTATAGACTGGAACGTCTAGGTCGCAAAAAATATTCTGTTCCCCTCTACCAGGACTAGTTAATGCTTGTTTCTCAAAAAGCAATCAAGATAGAGAGAAGCAGACTGTAACACTTTGCCAAATTTCATGAAAATCAGAGAATAAATATTTCCATAACCCCCTTATTCAAAGATAAAAAAATTAAATCTTGCAACTTCGAATATACCAGTCATGACTGCTTTATATTTTGTTGTTTACATTTAAAAGATGGTAAAAAAAACGTATTATATAAAAAGTTTTATTTATAAAAGACTGCAAAATTATATAAAAACATTGTATATTTGGACGGGACAATTTTATCAAAAATTCTTATAAAAAGTTTTACTACAAACAATAATATACCTACATTTTTCGATAACACAATAGTTTATAAAATAAAAACAATAAACATGCCTTACTTAATAAGGGTATGGTCCGTTATTAACCGACTACTAACCAGGATTTTTTGACAGCTGTTCCTGAAAAAAACTAATTTCTTGCTTACTTTTGGACCACGGAGAGATTGGCGAGATTTACGTCACTTTTGTGACAGATTGACATTCGACTTAATAGTAAACGTAAAAATATAGCGGTTAGTGAATTGACGTTTGAGTCACCATTTTCAGATAACCGCGTTCTAATTTAACCGATTTTTCAGGAATGTCAACCAGAGCGGTTAGTTTTGGACCGAGTAACCGATATTTCGGTTAATAACGGACCATACCCTAAAAATAAAGACTCGACAAGCAGCTGTCAGTCTAAACAATCTGACAGCTGTCAAAGCAATTTTTAAACCTACAATTTGATTTTTTGCTATACTAAAACGAATAATTTTCTATTTGATGCGTTTAAATATGGAATAACTTTCTAAATATATATTTTTGATTACAGGCACAAAAAAGGCAGTTCCAAATTTTAAGTAGGCATTTTCTTATATCCAATTAAACAAAAAAATGCTTGTATATAAGATATAAGGCAGTTATTTGATTAATACTAATTTGTTCTTACATAATAATCGAGATTATATACAGTGTGTCCCAAAAAGTTTTATACAAATGGGAAAAAAGTTTCTTTCACATTTCACAAAAAAATGTATTCTAGATAAAATCTATTGCATGAAATTTTTAAAATTAAAAATGTTGGATAAAACTTTTCCCATTTGTATAAACTTTTTGGGACACCCTGTATACGCAAAATATATACAAGGTAAATCAACTTAATGAGGATTTTTCCCCTAATAATTTCGGTTTTTAGCCCAGTAGACCTAGCAAAATCAATAGAACAATGACTTAATTAAAAATTAATTTATAATATAATGGAATATTAAGAGTAGAGAGGATTTTTTTGTCCTTGAGTCTCCTAAGGGACGGAATTTTAAGCTACCACAATTATAATGTTATAAAGAACCAAAATACAAACTTAATAGTAAAATTTCATACTGTTTTTATTGCTATTTCAGCCTGATTCTCTTATACGTTCTTAAATAATTTTTTATAAAAAAAAATGTAAACTCGCGTTGAAAATATGTCAAAAAAACTACCAACTATATTTTTTAAATAATAAAAAAATTCTTTAAGAAGTTTAAGAAGTTAAAAGCGAACTTTTGGTGGAGGTGATCACCAATATATACAGAATGTCTCTGAAAATAATGCGTTCATGGGTGAAATACATAATATAACAAACGGAAAATTTGTTTTACAAATTACATTTGTGCTGTATACTAAAAACAAACAATAATAAAAAAATCTTAAACAAATTTACCTAACCTGTACTGACTGCAGCCAATTCGATATATATTCCTATGGACGGTATTAAACTATATATTTTATAAAATATTGTATATTACACTATCAAATTTTTCATCAAATAGCTTTTATAGAAAATATTAGTCAAATTTATTTTATAAACTAATGCCAACCTATGTTTTTAGAATTTTGTAATCCTCATTATAATGTATGTGGCAGGAACACGCTATTTTCAGGGACACCATTAAAATAACTACTTATTAGCTACTTACCCAAACATTCAACGAAATTGATATTAAATAATTACATATAAAAAAAGTTTGTTCAAAGTTAAAAAGTGTTACAAAAATTGTCAAAAAACGAATATTATAAAAAAAATATTACACTTTAACAAAAAGTAACAATGGAAATGCTCATTTCTACGATAACATTTTAGATTGGATTCCCTTGACTCAAACAGGAAAAAAATTCCTATTGTCACAAATCCCAAATGCAATTAAAATTCTAATTTTTTTTTGAAAGAATTAAATTAAATTAAGTTAAACGAAATTATTTTATTTTTTTATTTTACAAACTTTCTTTCCATGTTTTGACCTAAGGAATCTAATCTTAAATTTCCGTGCAACGTTAATGAACCACCCTGTATAGTATCAAGAACATACAGTGCGACGCAAAAAGTGTACATCTAATGAAAAAACTTTATAATACAAGTTTGTACCCGATTTAAAACCCAATATAAACTTCATAAATATATAAAAATTTGTATCATACACAAAAGTAAAAAAAAAATATAATTCGACTCAATAAACAAAGTATTTTTTGAGATACACTGTATAATATTATATCGACAGATAGCTAAAAACGTTAGAAAACTTGATACTTTTTACCAAGAACATTAAAAACTTGCGACAATTTTCCTGTTAACAAATCGCTGTAGAAAAAACGAGCACTTTCCCAAACACAATTTCGGACGGAAAAAATTCTAATTAAAATATCACTTCAACAACAACGAAAAATTTACTACAAAAGTAGAAAAAACAACGTCGGAACGATTACCGCTAAGAGGGTGGTCCTAAAACTCGAACTACCCGCGTGACAGTCAACAATTCGTCTGGCTCGCATGAAGTCTTTACCCAGATATTCCGAGTAGTGTCGTTTTTCGGGCGCGATCACCTTCAGCTGGGTCGTTGCGTCTTGAAAGATTAGATCGGCAAACGGTGGTTGCGACGAGAACATGCTGAAACTGTGGAGAAAAAAAAATATGTTTCACCAGAAGAAAAAGCATTAATGTTAATTTATAAATGTTCACCATAGATTAATGTGTCTGAAGTGTAAATGAGCGGTAGTCGATTTTCAATTGCTAAAGCCTTCTGTAATTGTGTAAATTCTACCCACAATCAAATTAAGCTTCAGCGACTATGCTATATTGAAATATCATAAATTTCGTTCAAACAGTATTCAATTTTTTTAAAAATGGTCAATATCGAAAAAAAAATTTGTAGAAGCGATACAAATCCTAAGAGAAATCCCACAGACCTCAGTAATATAGGAGCCTCTTTATCATTTTTAATATTTGCATTAAGATTTGGCATATGATAATAAAAACTAATATTCTATACTGACAACATTAAAATATTTCGTCGGCCTACAAGCAAAACACACTAAGTCAGATTTGACGAAAAATTAATGTATTTTGCCTGAAAAAAAAATGCTATTATGGACTTTAAATAATTTAAAAATAAGGATTTAATTCTTAGAAGTATATAGAGCGGAAGAAATCCAGTCAAATGATGTAAAGTAAAAAATGGAAAATTTGACTTAGTGTGTGTCCTACTTCTTAACTGAGGATAATTAATCAGAAAGTGTATAATTTATGATATTTTTAACATCGTTTTTTACCTGAATTCGTCAGCAAATTTGCGTCCATAAAAGGTCTGAGCGTACAAAAACAAATTGATGAAAGCATTAATATGAGTTTCGTTATAACCATAACCACCTCTAGTGATGACTGCATTTGCTTTAACTTTTCCCAGATTGCATTTTTTATATTCGTTAACTTCAGCCCTAGTACCTAAAAGAAGAAAAATAAAATATTTACAACACAATTGATAGAAATTAAAAGCGTATCTGCTGACACAATAGCATAAAAAATACAATAAAAAAAACCGAAGATATCTCACCATCAGGACATAAAAGTTCATAATCATCGTTCAAATTATCCCTAGTCCACCATTCTCTCTTCTTTCCACCAGTATTTTCAGTCACCGTCGTATGTTTGACGAAAGCCACATGACCACCGCCCTCTACAAGACACCTGAAAGCCCCTGTATGTCCGTAATAATCTTCAGATGCGTCCCGTCTACAATATCTACAAAAATAACACAGTCATAGTACTTTTTCCGTTCATTTTTAATTTTATACAAAGGAAATCATTTGTCAGCTGTCCAAAGTCAATCGTCAGCTGCCAAAAGTCAAAGTCAATTTTCAGTGTAAGGATTTTATTATTTCCATATTTATATTTGTTATTCAAACAGAGTAATAGAAAATAGTTGAGTCATATTAGGATCTCTAAGAATTTAAATTTATTTAGAAGTCTACATTATCTGCAAAACTAACATAGTCGTAGTATTTTCTCTTCCCATTTTCAATATTATAATAAGGAATTCATCTATCAGCTGTCAAAAGTCAAAGTAAATCGTGTTACAGTTTGACACGATTTTTTTTTTATACGGAAATAATTTGTCCGCTGTCAAAAGTCAGTCATCGGTTGTAAAAATAAAAAAAAATGGTCAATGTTACATTTTGATCCGCTTTTTTAACTGAAATGTAATTTTAATCATATTAAGGCCAGTCTTTTCACCTCTGAGTAAAGTTGAAAGTAACTACTTGCTGATTAAACTATAGGGCTATTGTTTGTTAATCTGTCAAGTAAACGTACATGTAACTTTACTCAGAGGTGAAAAGATCGGCTCTTAAAAGTCATGTAGTAATATTTTAAGAAGGAATTATTTATCAGCTGTCAAAACAGCTGTTAATTTGATCCGCCCTTTTAACTGAAATATAATTTTAAAAGTATTAAAGTCTCATCTTGTAGTAATATTTTAATAAGTAAATAATTTGTCAGTTGTCAAAAGTCACTCATTGGCTGTCAAAAGTCAAAATAAATTATCAGCGTTATAGTTTGATACGATTTTTTCGATTTGAAATATAATTTTAAACGTATTAAAATCATTTTGTAGATTTATTTAACTAGGAATACAAAATATTAGCATTGTTTTGTAGCTTACCTGTAGCTAGGTCCATGGCACAAATCACACATATTGTCATACGGTACTCCGGTATTGTATTCGGTACTTAGAGCCCCGGGTACACAGCTTTTCGAAAAATATTCGGCCGCAGCCCTGACGCTGTTGCAACCATAAGGTCTGATCCATCCGTTGCTGATCAAGAAGGCCAAGGGATACACCCAGCCTGCTGCCGTATTTATACCACCATGACAGGTATTTTTATCTAAAAAATAGAAATTATTAATTTTATTTTGGTGTCCTTCAAGTAAGGAACCTTTACTTTTCGACGTGTACATTAACGATGTTGAGAATTAACTAGTGATACAGAAATTACGAACTCAATACTACTAATAATGAGTGAAAATATTATCACTAGAGAACTCAATCCCACACTGAAGAACAAACATACAGATTGGAAAAGATTTCAACTTGAAATTAATGAGAAAATTGAGATAAATGTCCTTATTAGGACGGTGAATGATTTCGACACAGAATTATTTATGGAATAATACCCCATTAATACAAAGGAAAATTATACAATATGTTGACTTGTCCATCCTGACTCCAAGAGAACAGTATAGAAACACATTGCTATTGAATAGAGATAGATAGAATGATAGGTCGCTGGGTGCGGATCGCAATATCCCATGCTTGCCATAGAAAGGGCGTGTTTAAACCAATTACTCTCTGTATACGTCTCACGTTCAAATATAATTAAGCGAATCATCTTTATTTTGCCTGATACGTCCAGTTAACATACTGTATGCATTAATTATCCCAAAGAAAAAATTGAATACAAAACGAAAGAAAGGTTCAAAGGGAGTGGCAAAGAATGAGAATTGAAGAAAACTAAAACTAATTAAATAGACTTTCACAACAGCTAGGAAGAGAGATAAAAAATAAAAATGAATCAACATTAATACGTAGGAGAGCTCACAGATGACCAAATGACTGACTACTTATTATGGAAAGCTGACAAAAAAAAAAACAATCCAACAGACAGAAATTGCAAACAAAATACCACGAAACAATTTTGTTTACCAACATCTTTGTTATGTGTACTTACTTTTTAGATAGGTCAACTCAGTGCTGGGATCGGATTCCTTCCCAACGGCGACTACATAATATTCGGGTTCGTCCAAATTATAAACTTCGCTAATGAACGGCACCAAATCGTAGTTCAAACCGGCAGTGTAGACGTCGCTGGCGTCCAATAAAGTCACGTCAGCCGTTCCCGCTCTTATAGCTTGCATACAATGGATCTGAGAGTGGCCCTTGTAGCACTCCATTTCAGGTTTCATTAGCTGAGCTTTGAGAGCGATCTACAAGAATTTTAATAGTCGACATTTTTCTTTTTATATCGATTAATATAAAGAGGGTTCAGAAGCCAATCAGTGTAAGCCAGTAAACAAAATGAAACTTTAGTTTAACATAGAAAAATTAACATTATATGATTTTTATTAAGTTACAGAAAAACTAAACTTAATTAGTTGTTTTAAAAAACTAACTTTGATTCAACACAAAAAATGTGATGTCACTTTCAGCAAAATGATCACTTTACACTGATTGTTTTCTGAACCTTCCAATTTTTTTAGTATTTTTATTTTTTTAAGCATAATTTAGTTTCAGTTAATCCTTTTAGATTTTTCGGTATAAAGGCGATTTTAATGGGCCCGTTCACTTTCATTTTTGAATGTGAATTAATTATATATTTATAAAGATATTAAACTCTTTTGTCTGGTGGTACTTTTCCCGTTAAGATATTTTTGCTAGAAGTAAGGGAATTCCCATAAAATTCTTTCAGTGACTCATTGCGTCAGAAAATCCCTAATTCCGTTCACGTCTCGTATCCGTTATGCTTAAAGACGGCGAGGTTGTCGGAAGTATCCCTAATATAGCATTTCTGCATTTATATATGTAATTTAAATAGTAAAATTCCATTATTTTTCTAAAAATCATGAACTTATATTTTCAGATTTAAAGCTAGGAGCTTATTTTTTACGTTTTAATTAAAACAATTATTATTACTCAGGCTGAAAATTAACCAGACCATAATCAAAAAGTAGAAATTTGATTTGCAATATTTATCTGGTAAACGTGGCAACGTTGCATTTATTTCTAGAAGTGTGTGTAGACAACACTATTTAGAAGTACTTACAACGTTGTCACGTTTACCAGATACATTTTCTCAAATAAAATTTCGATCTGGTAATATTCAGCTTGAGTAATACTAATTTTTATTAAAATTTAAAAAAGGTAAGGCTTCCAGCTTTATCTGAAAATATAAACACATTATTTTTAAAAAATAATATATTTATATCATGTAAATTTCTTTAATAAATGCAGAAGAGGAATGGTGGTGCAATGATACATCCGACAACCGCACCCTTTTAACTATTAACCGATACAAGACCTGAAGGGAATTAGGGGTTTTCTGACGCAATGAGTCACTGAAAGAATTTTATGGGAATTCCCTTACTTCTAGCAAAAATATCTTAACGGGAAAAGTACCACCAGACAAAAGAGTTCAATATCTTTATAAATATATAAATAATTCACATTCAAAAATGAAAGTGAACGGGCCCATAGTGATATTTTCGCATACGCACAAATAAAAGTGAACAAAGTCGTTATATTTACCTTCATTTTAACACATTTGTTTTTTTCAGCATCCGAGGTAACACATAAGGTCATTCTACCAACAGGGCATTGTCTAACGCCCATAACAGTATCCAGGGAATCGCCCAAAAAACTCGTGTAAGTTTGTTGGTTTTCTGGAACTGGGTTTATTTGACGAGCGGCGTCCTATAAGCAAAAATAAAGAATAGCGTCAACATTGTAAATGTTCGAATCTGGAAAACGTTGAAATATTTATATTTTAAATTAATGCATAAATTAAAATTATCAGCCCACTTGCATAATAATAACAGTAAATAATGATAATAACAGTGATAATAACAAAACTAAGTCGCGTCAAAATAATAAGTAGTCACTTAAAAAGTTTTCACCGATGTCGTTTACAAATAGAGAAAACAATAGAGGTGCTAGATTGCTGCCCTGTGGAGCACCACTGGTTGCCATAAACTGGTAAGATTTGTGGCCTCTAAATTCAACATAGAGCGTGCGATTTTTGAGATAAGACTGAAATATAGCGATAAGGTCATGATCGAAACAGAAACAGAAAATAACTTTTTTACTCTTGGCAAAATTCTATTGTACAGTGCCATCTCGGTAGTTAGTAATGTCATTGATCTTACCAGTTTTAAATATAGTAATGATTTTTGACAACTTCCAGACCTCAGGGAAGTCATTTGTTTGTAGGGCCATGTTAAATATTTTGCAAAGAGGGATAGCAAGTATATTAGCATAGTCTTTTACAAAGAAGCTAGGTATGTTATCATAACCACAAGTCAATTTTGCATTGAGTTTACGCAACACAGTACTGATTTCGTCCTCTTCAAACTTATTGATGGAAATATTAGGGTTTGATACCGGGAGGTTCATTTGAATCTGGTACAAAAACTCTACTAAAAAGGTCAGCATACGCATTAACTATACTATCAGGAGTTGCGTATTCGACTCCAAGAGAATGAGCCCTGGCATTTGTGAAGTACCTCTTTTTTGTGAATATATTCCCAGAAATTCGATGGATTTTCTCGAAACGAATTTTCAGCCTTAAGACATAATTCTTGTAAGCGATATTGATTTTCTGTTTTATTCTTGCCCTTTGCTCTCTGAACTGAAGCCTATGAAGTTTATTATTATTTTTCAGTTGTTTTATCATACTGTTTTTTTTTGTTTAATATAATTTATTATTTCTTTTGTAAACCAAGCTGGGTATTTGTTTTTGAAGTTACTTAGCTTTGACACAAACCTATCAATTGTTGAGTAAAGTATAGTATAATAGTACACAAAAATATTTTATAATTCATGTGTCTGTAAAGTCAAAAATAACCAGATTTTATTTAATAATTACCTGCAACATCAAATTAAGATGTATCCCATATCTAGGGCTGGATTCGAACAAATCGAATACTTCGAAGTACGTCACATTGGTCCTGTTATAATCTGAATAAGGATTTTCGTTCGAACCGAACGTATTCACGTTAAAAGGATTGACGTTCCTATTTTCGTTTGGGTTTCCATAAGGATCGATGTTTTCGCCGTACTGATTGGGATTGATATGGTAGGGATCTCGATTGAATGGATCGTTGGGGTTTTGGTTTTGATTGATGCCATTTTGATTATTAAAATCGTTATTATAAGGATTATTGTTTCTGTTATAATCATCACCAGTTCTTGTATTGTACGGGTCATTTGGATTATTGTTATTATTCCTATTGTAAGGATTTTGATCGTTTCTTCCATATTGATTATAATCTGTTTGCCTTTTGAACCTGTTATTAGTCTGTGCGTTATAATCAAAGTTCGATTGGGTACTTTGGTCATACGGATTCGGGTTATTGTTATTATTCCCGTAAAAACTGGATTGTGTGCTGTTTCTGTTCAATTTAGGATATCTTTCGGCGAATTTCTGTAAAAATTTCTGCAATTTAACGCGATCCTCGAAAGACACCGCCGATGAGACTACTATGGCGTCGGATGGCACTTTGCCCCAATTGCAGGCTAGGTATTCGCTTATAGGACGTCTGGAACCGTCTTTGCATAAAAGTTCGAAGTTTTCTTGTGATAGAGAACCTAAAAAGAAGTAAATTTTCAACAGACATTGGAAATTTTAATAAAAAACCTTTCAGCATATATATTAAGAGTCAGCGTCCACATAAAGTTTGTTTGATGCAGGGGGTAAAAATAAATATCATATTGTGTTCAGCATTATCATTTATGTGCACGTCAGTTCTAATTGTCATTTCACAAGTATCTATTAGCGTCTCTTACAGTTTTTAAAAATAATAAGTTCATAAACTTGAATTTAAAGTAATATAATAAGGGGATATGTCCCTGGAAAAAACGGAAATTTGATGAAAATGGGTTTTGTCTACTTTTCATTCTCATGCCTTCAATTATAAATTTATCCTAAATTTAAAAGACCCAAACTATTTAATATTTAGTGCGATAGGTGTAAACAACAATACTACTGCAAAACAATTTGGGTCAGTTTACAAAAGATTTCTAAATCATATAGAAATTAAATGCAGCAAATTTGGAAACACTTTAGATTTAGATACATCCGTTTTAAAATGTTTCATCTGTAACAACAAATAAACTAAAAGAAAATTTAAAAGAATCCAAACTATGATAGATTCTTTTGATCAAACTTATCTACAAGCCGGCACAGTCTAATTTGTCTGAGGTGCAAATACACAGTAGTGTCAGGTTTATATTATTATTGCACAAAAATGACAATAATTTTACATAAATCACCTCGTATAAATAATTTTTTTATAATCAACATAAATCACCCTGTATAAATATAATATATTAAACAAAAAACAACAATATATTTTATTTTTCATTCAGAATTTTTACTTTAAAAAAAATTTCAAAAAAAATACTCTTCCTGTTAGTTGTACTCTAATAGAAACTAACTTACCGATTACACAACAACAAAATTTTCTCAATCCATCGAACATATCTTAAACCATGACTATCCAACATACCAAAACCCCATTGTATTAAAGAATTCACAACCTCAATTCAGTTGTGACCAAACTATATACTATCAAAATGTTAATGGACTACGAACGAAATCAGCTGATATTTTGAAACTATGACATTATCCTTTTGAGTGAAACTTGGCTTAATGAAGACTTTCATAGTTCTGAATTTTTCGGCGATAGAAATGTATTCAGGAAGGACCGAAATTATGCCCTCTTCAATAGCAGCCGAGGAGGTGGAAATTTAATAGCAAAATAATTGTGAGAGTGTTGTTTCCGTAAAAATCGAGTTTTTTTACTGTTTTATGTTAACAATAATGTGTTTTATATCAAAATTATTAAAACGAAGTGCTTTTTCCATTCAGCAATAAAAAATAAATAAAAGAAAAATAGGGAAGTTAATACCTATTGAATAACTAATAATTTGTTTGCAATGGGATGGAATAAAATAATTATCGCTTGATTTGATAGTGTTTTTACCAATTAGAAATTTTTTGTTAGAACTTTTTTGTCCGCCTACAGAAATCCAAAGTTTAATTAAATAAATTTAATCTAAAGGAAGCAGGTCCGTATCTAGGAAAAATGGAAAACAAATACAAACGTTGCAAGAAAAAAGATTTTACCAATTATGTTTGTATTATGTGTATTAATGTTTTTCATCCAAGTTGCATAGAAAGACGGAAGGCGATTACAATGTGAGGATTTAAAATACAGGGTGTTATTGAAATACACGTACATATTAAAATGGGGAATAGTATGTAATGACCAAAAACGATTGGCACCAATTTTAACTTCAAATTCTAAAATTTAAATATTGGGGAAGAGTCCCCTTTTCCGACCTACTAGTTTCCATATTTAAAGAAGTAAAATAAATCGAAATTGAACTTACCCATAGAAATTGCACTGTTGCCGTAGCAAAACCAATTAATTCAAAATAAAGTTTATTACAGTAATTGTTCAAAATGCCGTCCATTATTATTTACACACACTTGCAATCGTCTTTCCAAAGAACTTTGAACATTAGAAATTAGTCTTGGATTTTGTCGTAGTTCCGCTACCGCATTAACTTTATTGGTTAATTGTTCAACACTATTAATAGGTTCATTATAAACCAGTTGTTTCATGTGACCCCACAAAAAGAAATCGCATGGATTTAAGTCCGGAGATCTCGGAGGCCACTTAGTAGGTCCATTTTTGCCTATCCACTTTTGAGGAAATCTAATGTTCAAAAACTGCCGTACGTTTAAATCAAAGTGAGGAGGAGCGCCATCTAGTAGGTACCACATCCGTTGCCTTAATTGTAACGGTATCTCTTCTAGGAGTACTGGCAAAATATCTTCTAAAAAGTGGAGATATCCTGGCCCATTTAATCTGTTCGGGAGAACATAAGGCCCGATTAAATACTGATCTATTATGCCAGCCCAAACATTTATTGAAAATTTTCTTTGATGCCCAGTTTCCCTAATGGCGTGAGGATTTTAATCACTCCAAATATGCGTATTGTGCATATTGAACACGCCATCACGAGTGAATGAAGCCTCGTCAGTATACAATAATATTTTTAGAAAATCAGGAATATCAACACATTTTTGAATCATCCATTCACAAAACTCCACTCTCTTTTCTTCATCACCTGGATATAAGGCCTGGACTTTTTGGATGTGATGATGTAAACCTTGTTCTTTAAGTGTCCGCCACACAACAAATGAGGACACTCCAATTTCAAGACCTAGTCTTCTACAACTTATTTGAGGCCGGTTTTCAACAGCTTCCAATATTTCTTCTTTGGCCGCCAATGTTCTTTGTGTTCTTGTTCTCCCTCGATCTGCATTGACACTCTCAAATTTTCCATGGTCTCTTAGATGCTGAACAGTTGAAATAAACGTACGACAGTCCGGAATTCTCCGATTTGGAAACCGTTCGCGATACAGGATTTGTGCTTGCCGAGAATTTTCTCCAGCTGCCCCATAAACCAGCACTATATCCGTTAGTTCAATATTCGTAAATAGTGGCATCGTAAAAAAATATTTAAAAGTAATCGTAACAACACTTTTTACCAACTTGGAAATGACGCGCTCGTGTTAGCCAGATTCGTAAATCAACTAAAATTTTAATAATCTATAGTTTCAAAAATGTATAGTTTAAAAACAATCATTTATCAAATATTCTAGTTTTTTTATAACGAGGGTAGTAAAAACCAGTCTTCGGAAATAGAAATTAATTCGAAAATCTTGGCAACATGGTTATTTCTTACAAGACTAGTTTTATTATCATCTGACAAAAACTTGCATATTAATTACTGTTGATGTTTAAAATAGGTAAATAAACCTAATTTATATAGGTCATCCTCAACATATCAGTGAAGTACGTTTGTTTTAGAATTAATTTTCAAAAATTAATAACTCCCTTAATAAGGGGTATTTTTAAAAAATAATATTTTTCTACATTCAGTGGGGATCTGCGCAATACCCAGTTTTAATATGTACGTGTATTTCAATAACACCCTGTATATTGTTCGGTGGAGCGCCAAAATAAAGAAGTAGACGGTGACGAGCACAAGGAGCGACTGGAAACTATAAGTGAATTAAAAAAAGAAATTGACAAAAAAGACGCCTATTTAAAGAGAATTAATAGACGCTCTCTAAAATTTGAAGAAGATGTACTTGACAATGAAGAAAAAATTGAACTTATACTCAAACAGAAACATGATAGAATAGCTAGAAATACAGAATTAAATGACTTTAAAAACAAAAACTATTAATTAGAAGAAAGTATTTTAGAAAATAGCAAATATAGTAAGAAGTTGGAAAATGACTTAAAAGAAATTAATAATGAAATTAGTAAAAATATGGTATCTGCTATAAGAAATCTTGAACATGACAATGAAATATATCAAAATCAGATGCTAGTACTAAGGGAAGAAATAAAATCCTTAACATCATAGAAATAGGTATCAAGCAATATGTCCCAAAGAAGAAGATAAGAGGTAACACATATCCTGTGTGGTTTGACGCTGTATTACGCAAATTGATTGTTGAAAAGAATAAGCTCCATTAAATATATCAGAGGACTAAGCTTCAAAGTGATTACATTAAATACTCCATTAAAAGGCTCGAAGTAAAATTTCGAACTGACTGGTGTTACTTAATGTTTATTTTGAACTCCACAAAACATACACTCCTTGTGAAGTATCTTCTAAAATAAAAAGTCTTGACTCTAGTAAAATTGCGAGCCCTGATGGAGTAACACCGTCGTTCTTGAAGGGGTGCTGGGACTCCTTGTCAATCCCATTTAGCCAAATTTTCCAAAAAGCATTTGATAGTGGAATATTTTCATCTGCTTGGAAGTTTTCCCACCTCATGCCAGTTTACAAGAAAGGAGATAAAAGCGATATAAAGAATTATAGAGGTATTTCCATTATATCGATAATTCCAAAACTATTTGAATCCATACTAACAAATGAAATTTTTTACACGTATAAAAACTATATCTCACCTCAACAACATGGCTTCTATCAAGGTCGCTCGACATCAACTAATCTGGCAATCTTAATTTCATCAATGAAAATGGCTACCAAGTTGACACCTTCGACACCGATCTGTCAAAAGCTTTTGACAGTGACTGTCATGAATTGCAACAATCGGTATTTCTGGTTCTTATTTTTACTGGATTAAATCTTATTTGAGTAATCGGTGTCAACATGCCATAGTGCATAATTCCGTATCATGTGACGTTTCAGTTGTATCTGGTGTTCCTCAAGGATCTCATATAGGTCCCCTATTGTTTTCCTTATTTATGATGTTACGTCCTGCTTTCTTAATAGCCAATGCCTTCTATTCGCGGATGATTTAAAGTTTTTTAGTAGACCTTAAACAGGTTTGCTACCTGGTGTAAACATAACGCTCTTTCTAAAAATATTTCTAAGTGCACCAACCTAGATAGATCCCCAACAGTTATTGATCTGGGCATTATTTTTGATACCACAATATCTTTTAACAACCATATAGATTCCATAGTATGCGAAGCCCTCAGAATGCTAGGCTTAATCAAGAGACATACTAGGTACGTGAATGACACAAAAGC